CAGAAGAAGCTTAAAAGTTTATAGTTTAATATATTTTAAAATGCAATTTATTCCTGAACAACGCTTAATGTTCAGCAGCCATTAGTCCAGTCTTCAGTGTCTTCAGTGTCACATTCTTGCATACAGATACAAGTTCAAAAGAACCACATTTATTTTAAATAGAAATTTGTGTCAGTTCAACTATCCACTCAAACTGATATGCTGATAATATATTGTAAAGATAAAGTTATTACATTTGAAAAATGCAAAACAGAAGCAGACTTTTAGATGTGTGGCTGCAGCTAAGCTAACTAACATTCAGGAAATATTTATGGGTGAATCTAAACGTTTTTGTCAAAATCAATAATTGCAAATAAACTGGTTATAAATTGTGTGGGCTTTAGAAAGCATTTTAGATGTCTCACTTATGGTGCTGTCTAACTGAAAACTGACCAACAATACAGTATATTTCCAAGGGCTAAAGTGTATCAAAACTAATGATCTGTACTCTCAACAAACAAGTCTTTCCACACCATAAACCTCGAAAAAGATGAATTATTTCCTTTCAGTGTTCCTCTGTTTTCTCATCACCTATCGATAGATCTGTCAGAGTGAAACCATTTTTATTCATTTAACGCTTGATTATCCACGGCTGCAAATGAAATTTGCATATTTAATGTTCAAAGGTCGCCATTCATGGGACATGACCTTGTGCAGTGACAAGGGATTCATTGTATTAACATAAAGGTCTCTGGTCATATCTGCGCAAAAGCAGTACACTGTATAAGACAGAGGTAAAGTCAAGGTGAAACGGGACAGCGATGTTTACTGAGGATCACTTGATCGCTTCCCTCCTGTCGCCTCTCAACACATCCCTGCCTCAACAGCGCAATGCAGTCCACAGCAGCAGCTGCAGTCAGGCAGGCAGGCAGAGGTCTGGCTTTTAGTAATCAGCCCAGGGGATGAAACCCCTCCCCCTCCCTCACCTTAACTGATTATTAAGCTTTTCGCTGTCAGTGCAACCTTGGCTGTGTACGGCAGTCTTTTTGTTTAGGCTAGGATTCTTTAGGCTAGGCTTTAGGCTAAAGAGCACAGACCCTGTGGATGATTCCCGCCGAGTGGAGGTGTTTTATTCCGCACAGCGTCTGGTACAGCAGATAGGACAGCCGCTCGTGGTCCAGCTCCATCTGAATGACTTGGCAGAGGTTGGCGTCCATCAGCTCCATTACTAGGTAACTGTCATTGGGGAAGGGGCGGGACAAAAAAAGAGGGTGTGATGGGGGGGGTAAGAGAGAGCAGAGAAGAAGGGGAGGGGTGTGTGGATGTGAGAGAAAGGGGAGAGAGCATTAGGGGGTATCAGCTGGGTTCTGGCATTTTTAACTGTGTAAATAGTACGCAACATATACTCACACATCTTGGAATTCTTCTAATGTTTTTTGTGGTGTAAAAACATTTAAGAGGCCTATTATCTGGAAAATAAAAAGCATATCTATTAGACGCTTATGCTCTGCTGGATTTCCCATTGCATGCAACATGTTACGAGTCATTTTGGGGTCATGACTTACATTTTTATGGTTGACACACTTCATGAGCACCAGCTCTCTGAATGCGCGTTTGGCATGAGTCTGATTCTGAAAAGGCCGGCTGAGTTTCTTTATAGCCACATTTCGCTCAAGGTTGTGGTCATACGCTGAGCTAAAAGAGAAAAGGATGCATGAAGCAGATGAACAGATTGTGTAATGTCCTCGATTTGAGGTGGAATACGAGCTCTAGAACCTACCAGACTATTCCCTGAGCACCCGAGCCAATGGGTCTTAGATTCTGATACCGCTTCAACACTGTGAATGTTGAATCTCCCACATCTACGCTGTAGAATTCTTTCTCTCGCTTATTTTTGTTCATGGTGAAGCCGAAGTGTGAGCATCCGAACAAGGCAGACTTTTACAAACCTAGACCATAAAAACAAAACAAAATCCACTATAATATTGCAACTGTTGTGATATCTTCATCACCGTAACATGATTTTCCTGCAGTATCTTTTTTTCTTGGCACTGCAGAATAAACTGAAAGGACAGCATAGAGTGGTGCCGAACCTCTTTTTGGCTCTGGGCTTTATCTCTGTGCCATGAAAAAGAAAATAACTAGAGCATACAGCTGTTAGAAACACACGCACACATAAAAAGGGGACTCATATGCCACAAAAGAGTAGGGCCGTTTCCTAATAGCTCTTAACCAGAGTTAAAACAGCAGGACTAACAGCATGACCCAGTTCCAAAGAAAAATGCTTCCACATATTTAGCAGTTTCCGCAAATGGCATAATATCAGGGACATTTTGTTTCCTGACACGTCGTCATTAAATTACATTAAAAGTAACACAATTCACTGTAATGAAAGGAAGTAGCACTGAATATGTCCAAATATGAAAGCATGAAAAAATAGCATTTTGGATCCATAGCAACAGAGAGAGACTTTTGTCAAGACTTCATTCTAGACAAGCTTTGATTTGTGGTTGCAACCGTGTACAATCAAGCAAGAAAAAAATATAAATAAATAAATTACCAACCACTTTTTGACATACAGGCCAATATCAATACTTACACAATCAGGCACGCACCCAAACAAACCAGTTAATCAAGTAACAATTTCTAATTTTAATCAGAGCCAAATATTAGTCTTCCAGGATAATAACACTGCCTCACAATTATCACAACATTCCCAAAGAGAATAATTTCATACCACAAGTATTATTATGCACAATAATAGAAATTAATCGAAAGAAACCACATTCGATTAAATTATTTATAAAATACAGTATTCTGGACAGCTTCACTAATAAAAGGTAAAAATGAATCACATAGTGACTGGCTAAAAAATGTTTTAGTTAAATGGATAATTTCTAGTTAGCTTGATATCTAGGCTATATACAGTCTAAACAATAGGACAAATCCTGATTAAGACAAACTTTTATGGTTTGTTTATGCGATTAAACATTAGGGCTCAGTTTCTTTTAGTATAACAATTTACTCATCAAACAGATCTAATGGGCACATTTTGTCAAGCTGAAATCAATCAGCCTGTTGCCAATTTAAAAGTGATATTTACATTTTTGATCATATATGTATCCTGATTTACACGACAGCACAGGCCAGTAAGATACAATATATACACAAGAAATAATGTATCGTTTTTGTCAAGTCTTTGACAGTGATCAGTATACATACTAAACCCATAAGTAAATCAGCCTTTCTTATGTTTCATTCCTGATTCAATTCTATCCAGAAAACACACACTGTATGGTTACAGTGGGCGGCTGGCAAAGCGAGCAGCTTGACAAATAGCTTTGTAAGCGATCTCACATAACCCACGGAGCCCGGCTCATTTATTAGCCGCTACGTTAAAAAGCCTCATCATTCAAAACAGCGACATTATCGTATTACTGTCTCAAATAAAAGAAAATGAGCTGTGATGTATACACACACCCTCCCCCACGGCGAAACAATACCGCGCATTAAAACCACCTTAAAACGCTCACTTACCTGCTACGATTAAAATACAAACACTCCCTGTATCCTAAATGCCAGTTAAATACCCGGACTCTTCAGAAATTATGTGGTGAAGGCTCTATCGATTATTAATAGCGCTTATTCGGCTGCTGGTTTCGATAACATGACCTCAGCGTATTGAAAGCGCTTTCTTCCACTGACTGGCAGCAGGCCTCGCGTGCACTGCGGACGACATGCGCTCTACGTCACCAAACCCCCACTCGCTTCCGTGCCATCATCACGCCGGTCTATTCATAGATAAGATCTATCTATCTATCTATCTATCTATCTATCTATCTATCTATCTATCTATCTATCTATCTATCTATCTATCTATCTATCTGTCTATCTGTCTGTCTGTCTGTCTGTCTGTCTGTCTGTCTGTCTGTCTGTGAATCTATGTATCTGTCTGTCTGTTATTCTCTCTCTGTACTATTTCTCTTTCTGTCTTCACTGAGCATGACAGATATACCTGTGCCTTGGTTTTCTCTGTGGGCGTGGAATGGGCTGAGTGTTACTGTTAACCGAATTATATTCAAATGTATCTGTCTATCTGTCTGTCTGTCTGTCTGTCTGTCTGTCTGTCTGTGAATCTATTCTATTAAAATCTGTCAAAATAGCCTATTATTGATCAAAATTAGGCTATGTTGTGCATCCTTTTAAGGATATTAATATATTTAACCCACTCAGATAGATACTTTAATTAATAAAATATGAAAATCCATTTAAAAATGCACTTTTAAAACTGTTAATCTAAACAAAGAGTAAATTAATCATAAATCATTTTAATATTTCTTGCGTGAAAATTGCTATATCAATCTGTTTCTCAAAAAAGAAAAAAATGAGTACTGTCCACAGTTGCGGCACCTAATAAAGTTTTTTCAAAAGTTGTAAAAAAAAAAAAAAAAGCTGTAAAAGTATGTAAAAAAGTGTACAAATGTTTAATTTGGTGTATTTTAGAGATACATATACACCAGCTAGCTTTAGCAAGACTAAAGAGTCAGCCATTTTATTAAAAAAATGTTTTAAATGTAATTTTCACTACAGAATGTTATTTAACACAATACAGGACTTGAAATGTGATGGGAAAAAATCAGAATACTTCTGTGCGTGCATTGTCATAGACGCCTAAACAAGGACAAGGACAAATAAAATGCTATTTAAATATATAGGCCTACATAAAAGGACCACAGCATCACTCTCAGAAAAAAAAGGTACAAAACTGTGGGTACCCTCTTGATATGCACACTTCAGGTACTAATTTGGGGGTAAATAAGGTACAAATATGTACCTTTTAGCTTTTGTACCTACCGTTCCAGTGACAGCTTTCTAACTTTGTTTTGAGAGTGTTGAGTAAAAAAAAAAGAGGTCCTGAAGACTTCCTCATCCTCTTTTGTCATTGCTCAATCCAATTGAGCTCTTAGCTGTGGTCTAAGAATAGTTGTTCAATTTGCAAAAATGTTTCGAGGTCCCACAGACACAGTTGCTTCTTAGTGATTAGATGGGAGTAGTTTATCAGCAAATGCATTTTTGTATGGTTGTACAGTACTACAGTATGCTGAACTGTAGATTGTGCATAGCTAGGTCAAATGAGGCACTTGGTAACAGAAGGTAAACGAAACATGTAGTGATTCACAGGATTAAAGTGTGTGTGCCGGGACTGAAGGCATCAGAGGGAGATCAGGACCTTAAGACATTGAATGCTAGAAGGTAAAAACTATTCATATTCTTAAGATGATAGATCACGTTTAGTAGTTATAATTTGTACAATTTTGTGAATCTCTCTACATGTAATTTCAGAAATGTGTACGTTCTAAGATTAACAACATAGTCCGTTTGTAATTAATTAATGCTGCTGCCATGACTTGGTCAGCTATATTGGTTAATGCTATTAAAATGCTACAGTGCTGAGTTGTGATTAGTTTATGTATATCTCAGAATTTTTGATTTGGACAGGGAAAGCCTAGAACCTCTCAATCAATAGAGAATGGAAAAATTATAATATAAAAACAAAAATCACTTTTATTTTCCTGATATTTTTAGTTTAGATTTAACCAGTGTTTATGTGCCCCTGTTATTATTTGTACACAAAGGCTACACAGTTTGTCAGAATATTCTAGGATTTAGTTATTGAAGGAATGCAGTGAGTTTAGTGTCATTTCTTTCTCTTAGTCCATGAGAAAATGCATGTCTTCCTAGATACTAATGGTCTGAGAGAGCTCAAGCTTATTTTGATTTTGATTTAAATTTTAGAGGCACATATATATGTATACAGCAATGTTGGCTTAAGTGTTTTTAGCATTTGTGTGCTTAAAATTAAGCATTCTATTTCTGACAGGCCACAAAAAGAAACTCAAGGCTTCTTGTAATGTTCAGACCTATGTTTACACATCTGCAGGTCCTGCTGAACCTTCTTTGGAGTTCAAGCTCATTATTGCATCGGTACATTTTTGTGTGTATGTGTCCAGCCCAAACATTTGTTGTTCTGACTGATCTGACATACTGAGGCAGAGAACAACCCGGTATCCATAAATTACTTATATTTTTAGATGACTGCGTTTACCATATTTTAGTTTGTCCTTTTTTACAAAGGTGTTGAGTCATTAAAACCCAGGTTGTGTAATTAACCAGTCATTGTAATCTCCCTGTATTGGCACCCAGACTTGATCTAGTTTAATATAAGCCTCAAGACAACCAAACAACAACAGACTGAACGTAAGGTTTTAAAATACATTACAGTCATTCTTATTTAAATGCATTTAGTATAATATATTTACTTAATATAATTAATATATTTTTAATCTAAATGTTTTAATATACATTACATTTTTTATTTTACCTGTAATGTATTAATGACAGCATTTAAAGTTCTGAAAAGTCATATAGATGTCTTTTTTAAGTAGCTCTTCAGATTATACAAAATATACTGCTAAATAGCCTTGAAACGGTTAAAGAGGCAATGCTACAACAGTAATTACAGCAATATCCTCATTATTTATGAGAGCTGTTATATAGCCTTTACTTTATTTATTTATTATTATTTTTACATTTTAGTAAATTCCTCTTGATTTGAAACAAAGAGAAACCTGAAAATATTTTTGTTCTCTATGCCATTAATTGCAGTGTAGTATTTTACCTTGACATGCTGAAATTAGCAGAGTGAGAATGTGGTTGGGAAACATTTTTTAGAGTCATGACTCTAAGTCTTAATGGCTGATGTTGGTGACATATTTTGGCACATTTACTTGAGCAGTCACTAGGAGTACCTTGGCAATATCCAGGTCCTGATGTCTCCTTATGGACATCTGATTATGTCCCACATCACATGCCAGATTACTGTAATCCTTAACATTTTTTATGTTCAGTGCATTTGCTTGTTGTTACCTTGCTTTGAAATTTGAATCAAAATGTCTATTAACAGCATCTGACAATGTTACTTGTGATGTGATTAAGAGTAAAAATGTGTAGGATAAGATTTGATTTTATTCCTTTGTGAATTGACTGGATAAAAAATTATGTGCACTGATGAATCATGATCCACATGCTTTTAGAAAGTCAATACTGTTTTAATTTTATGTGGACTTTAACCAGCCACACATCACTTCATGTATACATCACAGTAAGAGGAAACCCATAAAGACCAGATAAATTAATAAAAAAAGACACTATTCTATTGGTTTATTAAATTATATTTCTCATAAATACCAAAGAATGTGTTTATAGTAAGTAAGTTACTATAGTAAGTAATTTATAGTAAGTTCAATTCTGCTCTTGCAAGCAATTTAGATTTATGAACGTCTACATCAAAAAGAGTGGTACCAAAGGAACATTCTTTTGGCAAGTGCATATGATTGATTAGTGATGGACATGTTCTTGATGTGAAATGTCTCCCTCTGGCGTCTTTCTTGAGTAGTTACAGTTAAACAGACCAGAATACATACAGTTTTTCCCAATGGCTTTGGCAGTCTTAAAGTGCCCCTATTATGGATTTTTGAAAATTACCTTTCATGCAGTGTGTAACACAGCTCTAAGTGAATTGAAACATCCTGCAAAGTTTTAAATCTGAAAGTGCACCGTGTATTAAGTTATTGTCTCTCAAAAGAAAGAGTCGACTCTGAATCACTGAAAGAGTCGTTTTTAAAACGAATCCCAAGCCGTTTCATGTTGACGTCAACATGAAATATTAGCATATTGCCCGCCCACTTGTAGGTCTTTTCACATATGGAGGCAGAAACCTGCAAAAACAATAAATAAATAAATACACAAATAAATAAATAAATATGCAAATAAATAAATAAATGTGCGAATAAATACACAAATTCTTGTTTAAATACATATAGAAATAATTAAACATGTGATTAAAGTAGGCAAATAAATAAAATAAATTGGTGGGCAAATGGAAAATGTTTAAGGAAATGCTAAACTCATCCTATTTATTTTCCTTTGATCACTCATTTATTTCTGAATGTAGTTCTGCATTTATTTTTCCTCTGCACAACATGCTAATGAGAGGGTGTCAACCATGGACTTGGTCAGGTCTTGTGATAGCTGGGGGCGCGGCTTTCCCGCTGACAGGAAATGCATGGTGTAAACCCAATATAGCCTAGTAAAGTCACTTTTGCCGTTCAACAGAGCAAGATACATAGAAAAATTGAGCCGTATTGTCCGTACAGTATCGTGACTTTACAAACGACCCAACGGAATGGCCAGAGGTGTCATTTCCCTGCATTCGATATTCTCAGATCTAGGGACCGTCTCTAAAGTTACATACGACATTGGTATACACTTTTCTAACTTCAATAGCATTTGAGGGAAATTACTTACAGTAACACAACCAACTGTAACATGTTCGTGTAGGTCTCAGTTATAATGCACACCTTTTATATTTATTCAAATAAACTGTCAAATCAGTATCTGTGTACTAAGTTATTGTCATTTCTGCAGGTTTCGGCCTCCATATTCACGTTGGTCTGAATGAAAATGCAAATTCATTCTTTGCCACTAGGTGCTGCTTTTGGAGCGGTAAAAATAACGGTTTCCCCGGCAACCCTGTACACAAAGCAGCACTGTGCTCACAAACGTGGCTTTATCAGGCATTACAGGCATGATGAAATGAAAATGAGACCAATGACCAATCAGGCAGATTAGCGTCACACAAGAGGGGTTTGGGAAAATGAATGGTTGAGCAAATCGTTTGGAAGTAGTTGAGCAAGTAAGGTAAAAATAAAAGCATATTATAAGACAATGAAAGTGTTTTTTGAGCTTGCATGCATGTCAACCTGTTGTTGGACACTCCCAATAGGGGCACTGTAACATTCTCTAAACTGTGAGTGCAATTGTCACAACTGTTTCCTGGAACATTAGAACTCTACTGCATGTCAAACCCTTTAATTCATGCCCACACTTTAAGAGTCCAGGAAAAATCTCTATTGTTCAAGGGAAATAAAGATTTAGATGTGGATTAGAAATAGATATTTTAACATAGATATTTAATATTGGGGGGAAAGTAGCTGAAATCTTTTAAAATCATTGACATCTCTGCATAATTTGTGTATTAATGCAGAAACTTTGGGAGGGTGTCAGATGCACTGATAATAAAACACAAATGTAGTAAATTAAAATCAGTCTGTTTGCATTTTGCTTCTCTCCGAAAATGATCTGAAAATGGAAGAAATGTATTTGTATGTGTCCTCTGAAGTACAATCCAATCACCAGTGATTATGCAAAACAATTGGCACATTCTTGCCTAAGCTTATTCCTTTGATAGCTGGAAATGAAGTCAGCAAAAGACAAAAATAGATAATTGTAGACAGATTTAGAGTTACACATCACACAATATAAATAATGTATATTACACAATATTGTTATGAAACATTGGTGATGAGCTCAGAGTCCCTGCTGCTCACTTTGTTTAGGCTCCATCCTCCTCTTTCAGCTGATTTCTCTCCACCTCCACCAGTCAGTTAGCTTGTGTCTCTCCTTCTCAGGTATCTGTCTCGCAATTCCACAGAATGAGCAGCACATTTGTGACCCTCACAGAGGTGCTGGAAGCCAGAGGAGGACCGCTGGAAGAGGATGAGGTGTGGTCGCTCCTGCTGGGCTCAGCTGAATCCCTCTTAGACCTTTCCTACAAAGGTAAAACGTTGACCTTGAAGTTGAAGATTTTTCCTGATGGTGAAGAGTGCACTCCATGAAAAATTAAATGAATGTGGGTCTGTTTTTCTAGGTCACAATATCTGCAGCATTATAACTCCTGCATCACTGCTCTTGTCCGCGACTGGGACGCTGGCATTCAAGAACTGTGCTATGACAGATGAGGTGTGTGCCTTCACAGCCCCAGAGATGCTGCAAGGCCGTGCCATCTCCACCAAGCTAGCTATGGAGAAGGTCAGTTTCATTCAGCGATGCATGCCAACACTAGCACTCTTGTCAGAGATTGACGCACAGACACAATTATATTATATAGCCTATACATTACACTTTCCAAATCAAATCAGGTTCTCTTCACAAAATGACTGGGTTTTATGAAGATATATGGTGATGCTTGAGATGTAATTCAATGTTTCTGTAAATAACAATAATACTAATAATAATATATAATGATACAAACAAACCCAATATTACTAATAGACTAAAATAAAATGAGCTAAGTTCTGACAGGCTCATGAATATTAATCACATTACGTTAGCTAGATCAAAGCCTGACATTGTTGCTTTGATAGCTGGAAATGAAGTCAGCAAAAGACAAAAATAGATAATTGTAGACAGATTTAGAGTTACACATCACACAATATAAATAATGTATATTACACAATATTGTTATGAAACATTGGTGATGAGCTCAGAGTCCCTGCTGCTCACTTTGTTTAGGCTCCATCCTCCTCTTTCAGCTGATTTCTCTCCACCTCCACCAGTCAGTTAGCTTGTGTCTCTCCTTCTCAGGTATCTGTCTCGCAATTCCACAGAATGAGCAGCACATTTGTGACCCTCACAGAGGTGCTGGAAGCCAGAGGAGGACCGCTGGAAGAGGATGAGGTGTGGTCGCTCCTGCTGGGCTCAGCTGAATCCCTCTTAGACCTTTCCTACAAAGGTAAAACGTTGACCTTGAAGTTAGTTGATTTTTCCTGATGGTGAAGAGTGCACTCCATGAAAAATTAAATGAATGTGGGTCTGTTTTTCTAGGTCACAATATCTGCAGCATTATAACTCCTGCATCACTGCTCTTGTCCGCGACTGGGACGCTGGCATTCAAGAACTGTGCTATGACAGATGAGGTGTGTGCCTTCACAGCCCCAGAGATGCTGCAAGGCCGTGCCATCTCCACCAAGCTAGCTATGGAGAAGGTCAGTTTCATTCAGCGATGCATGCCAACACTAGCACTCTTGTCAGAGATTGACGCACAGACACAATTATATTATATAGCCTATACATTACACTTTCCAAATCAAATCAGGTTCTCTTCACAAAATGACTGGGTTTTATGAAGATATATGGTGATGCTTGAGATGTAATTCAATGTTTCTGTAAATAACAATAATACTAATAATAATATATAATGATACAAACAAACCCAATATTACTAATAGACTAAAATAAAATGAGCTAAGTTCTGACAGGCTCATGAATATTAATCACATTACGTTAGCTAGATCAAAGCCTGACATTGTTGTTAAGTAATTGTTCTTAAATTCTGAAATAATTATTCCAAACAAACTCAGTCATTTTGGCACAAAAAAAAGCAATAAATAATATAATGTAAACGTAGCAAGGCTCTCACTTCTCTCACGTTGCTTGCAAAAGAAACAAACAGAGTTCACGTTCCGTCAGAAAACGCTGCGAATAAAGTCATAGCAATAGGAAAAGTGCACTATAGAAACGGAGAGGGAAAACTAAACTGTCTGCGGTCCAGTTACCTGTATTCCTGCTTTTTTAAAATGAATTTTCACACCATAAACGAACTGAGAAATGATGACCTGTCAAACGCTCAGAGAGTTCTAGTGGCGCCCTGAAGCGGTCATATGACACGCAGTGAAAATAAACTTATTCTCACTTATTCTCACTATTCTCAATTTATTTAACAATCAACACCAAATTTTATAGACTTTTTTTTTTGTCTAGTGCGAAATCTTGTCACAAAGAAGGTTGGATTTATTTTAGAAAATGTGCTTCAGTTGAATGCTTACAGAAATATAATTTATGTGTCATTTCTTCCAGATAATCGTGTATTCTCTTGGGATGACTCTGTATTGGTCAGTTGATTATCATCTCCCTCAAAACCAGGTCAGTCTCACAGAAATTCGAGTAAAAAAAAAAAGTAAATCAAGTAAAAGATTGATGAACAAGTCATGCCAGTGAAGAATAAGGCAGCTACATATAAATGTGAAAATAAATGTGTTTTCTGCTCGGTTAGCCCATTCAGCTAAGTGACTCTCTGAATTGCCTTCTCCTGAGCATGTGTGAGGACATGGCCCATCGACGAGCCAACCTGAACTCCATCTTGGAGGTTTGTGAATCACATCACAAAGCATCTCTCCTGCCTCCTCCCAACAAAGTCATCAAACAGCTGGTAGAGGATGTCTTCCAAGACTCTGTGAGTTAAAAAGCATATCCTTTATACCTCAAACACTTCTCAATTGCTCAGTTTAGAAAAAAATAGCCAAGAATGAGATTTCATTTCCAGGTGGATCGAGCTGCTTTAACTGAAAATGTTGCACAGTTGAGTGGGAAAAGTCAGATGATCAGAGAAAGACTACATGGTAGGACTTCCTTTGAATCACAAAATTTCATAATTTTATGTTCTTATAGTTGTGAAATTGTAAAGAAGTGTTGTCAAATAAGTTAAAGTATGAAAACCTGAATATAGGCTGAATATTATATTATTTTTAATTTTTTTAATTGTTGTTTTTATATTTTAATTATTGTAATGTTTAAAAATGTTTATATTGCATGTAAAATGTGACTTGATGTTTTGATACATATGCAAATTAGTTGTTGCAGTGGGTATTTATAGAAGAGTTTTAGCCTGTCATGTTACAATCTGTGCACGTCAGATCCTTTGTATAACAAGTCTAAGTGGGTGTTGATGCCACATATTTGTCTTCAACTCTGTCCTTAACTAACCGTTTCAGTGGTAATCCCAACATATTCCTTGGATTATAATGTTTATCCTAAAAATGTAATTAGTAAAACCCTGCATGTTTGACTAATATATGCGTAAGACAGCACCACCGCACCAATAAAATAGTGTTCAGAATAGGATTAATGGTTTAACTTAAACCGAACATGGGATTACAAAAGGTTGTAATCAGGCTCAAAGCGCTGATGCTTAAACACAAACTGTAATGTAAAGCGTAGGGATCTTATGTTTGGCTGTTTTCCAGAGGTTACTTGTACAACCATGTGCCGTATAAACTGATGTGTATACCGTGGATGTACAGTATGCATTACGTGTGGTTACTGATCAGGTCTCTGTTGAGCAGGTAAGCGTGGACCATATCCTGGTTATACAGAGGGGAACGGAGCTTCAGGAGAGACTCGCAGACTGTCTCTGGACTCCGAGCCAAAGCCAGGTTTGTAGTTGTAAGCTTTTTTATGTTTTTAAAGAAAGTCTCTTATGCTCACGAAGACTGCATTAAGTTGATCAAAAATACAGTAAAAAATTTAAAATAGCTGTTTTATATTTTAATATATTTTAAAATGTAATTTATTTCTGTAATGGCCAAGCTGAATTGTCATGAGCCATTACTTCAGTCTTTAGTGTCACATTGTCTTTCAGATGTCATTCTAATATGCTGATTTGGTGCTCAAGAAACATTTCTTCTCCCCCCCAAAAAAATTATTTGATGAATAGTAAGTTAGAATAAACAGAACAACATTTATTTGAAAAAGAAATCTTTTGTAACATTAGAAATGTCTTTACTGCCACTTGATCAATTTAATGCATCCTTGCTGAATAAAAATATTAATTTTGATGACCCCAAACTTTTAAACAGTAGTGAATATCACATGTTTAGATGTTTAGTGAATCCATTGTTACTGTATAAAAAATTGAATGTTATTTCGTTAAATTATCAAGCTACTTTTTTGCCCTCTCTTTATTGCAGAGCATTTAGACATACAGCAATATTTCAATATTCAGTCTAGCTGTTTTTCCCCCCCAGGAATTTCCCAACAACAGAAAACCTGGTCTCTCAGAAGTAGACCTAGTCAGACCACATCATATCAGGGCTCAAACAGGTTAGTAGTATTGTTTTGCACTTCTAAATATATTATCAGGCTGTTAGCTGTTAGTGCTGTTAATGTCAATTTCTAATGCTATCCCAGAATTCCACTGGGGCTTCACCACAGACGAAGCACAAGTTGTTGGCTGTCACAAAGTACATGCCTCAACGTTCCCAAAAAGGGTGAAGCCCGGCCTTCCAGTCCCTGTATCACTGTTAGTGAGTCTGCAATCAGCCTCTCCCAAAGGAAAGCTAAGGTAAAGTGCTTAGCATCTGTGCTGTACAATGATATGTATGCTACATCTTATGTTGTTAATTGCGTGTTTCCATGTTTTAGAGTCTTGGACCTGAATTTACCAGGATGATTGATGAACCTCAAATAGTTTTAGAGCTGCCAGGATCTATAGTGGTAAAATGTGTTTTAGTGTCTTTGGTTGCATACTGTATAAAATGCATTTCAGTTTTAAGTGTTCAGCACTTATGTGCAGCTTTATTGCACTAAGGTTGTCTCTGTATATTTAGCTTCTTCTCCCTTTCTCTCTCGATCGATACAGTCAAAGAAAGGCAAGTCAGGCTTGTCTCAAAGGGAGGTTAACGTGATCATGCCAAATGAACAGTGTGTGGCAGTGAAATGTGACATCAAGTCCCGTGGGAGAGATGTCTTCGACATGGTTGTGGCACACGCTAACCTTGTGGAGCACTTTTACTTTGGCCTTGCTTTCATTGATGGTAATGCAGTCTTTATATATACCTTTGTGTGCTCTTGTGTGGTTTTAATGACTGTAAAAGGAACGAGTGTTTGTCATGTATACTTTGAACTACCTTACGTAAGTCATTGAGCATTAATTAAATTTTTTCTCATTTAGATGGTGAATTTTTCTTTTTGGACCCTGAGACAAAAATCTCAAAGGTTGCCCCAGATTGCTGGAAGAAAGTGGCTTCTGCGACATTTACGCTTTTTCTCCGTGTCAAATTTTTCCCTGATGACATCTCCTATATATTGTATGTGTTTTTCTACTGTCTTTGGGGCTGTTCACACAGAACATGTTTTTGCATTCCACTGCACTGCTTTTTTACATTGTTTTCATGCACTTGACGGGCTATTGTGCTTGCCATGATTTTGCATCATTTGCAGTGCCTCACACGTGACACGCCGTTCTAAACTTAAAAAAAGTTTAAGTTTTAAAAATCTGTGTCTCTAGGCCATTTTTTTCCATTCCGCTGCCCTGATTTCTGTGTAAATGGCACTTTATGGTTTGCATATGCATGATATTTAGATAGACCCAATGATATCAGATTTTCATGGCTTTTAGTATATGTCTGTCAGGCCATCTATGTACTAGTGTACTCCAAAAACAAACTTAGTGCATAAACATTACGTTTCAAAAGTTTGAAATCAGTAATGAATACTTTTATTCAGAAAAGATGGTTTAAATTGATCAAAATTAATAATGGTACAAATGATTTATTTATTTTTAAAAATAAATACTGTTGTTTTAAACTTTCTATTCATCGAAGAATCCTGAAAAAAATGTGTCACGGTGTCCACAACAGAATTAGGCAACACAACCATTTTCAACATTTATAAAAATGAGAAATGTTTCTTAAGCACCAAACCAGCATATTTGAATGATTTCTGAAGGATTATCGTGACATTGAAGACTGGAGTCATGGCTGCTAAAAATGTAGCTTTGCCATCAATGGAATTATTACATTTTAAAATATATTAAAATAGAAAGTTATTATTATAGTTAAGTTATATTTTTGATTCAACAATATTATTGGACTATTTTTCCTACGCACCTATTGTTTTTCAGGTGTGCTGAGTTTGTGTTGATTGGAAAATTAACCAAAAAACTTGTCAAATGATTTCATGGGGTCTTTAATGCATTATACCTAATAGTTTGCAGTGCTAATACTGCTCACTGTTTGTTTTTGTTGAATTATTTTTAAAGGCATAGACTTACACGACACCAATACTATCTCCAGCTGAGGAGGGACGTTCTGGAGGACAGAGTGTACTATACTGAGGAGACCGCATTGTTTCTTGCTGCGTTAGCACTGCAGGCTGAGTTTGGAGATTATTTGCCTGAAGTGAGTGAGATATTAATGAACATTTGAACTTTCAACAGCTCTAACTAGACTGTATGCTGAGATATCACACTAACCTTTTCAGGTTTATGGGAAGAACTATTTCCAAATGGAGCAGTACATCTCTAAGAGAGTCATAGAGAAAGTGGCCTTGCCCTGTTTAAGAGAGGAGTTGCCAAGGTTACATGCCAATAATGCCCACATGCTTCCAGAGGAGGCTGAGATGGAGTTCTTAAAGGTTCTTTCTTTTGGCCTTCAGTTAGAGTCACTCATGCTAAAAATACTCTTGTTATGCTCATAAAACTAAACAAATCAATATAACAGTAGTTTTGTTCAAACATCTGGCTATTTGATCATAGTTTGTCAGTACCTCCTGTGTCTCTCTTGCCTTTATAGATTGCACAGCAGCTGCCAGAGTATGGAGTGCTGTTCCACAGAGTTGCCCGTGAAAGGAAACCTATTATTGGAGAGCTGGTTTTGGGAATTTGTGCCAAAGGAATTATGGTTTATGAAGTCAAGAACCATTCTCGTGTGTTAAGCCGCAAATTTCACTGGACAGAGACAGACAGTCTCTCAACAAGTGTGAGTTATTATTTGTGTGGATTATATTGCTTATTTAGGTCTTTTTTGATACTCTGTGAAATACTCCAGTAACATGCTATTTGAAGTTCATGATGTTTTGGGATAAGGTTTTAATAATTCTCCATTAATCCTGTCATAGAGACGAAAATTTACCATTGAGTGCAGCCCGAGTGGGAAGAAGCACTCATTTGTGACAGAGAGCTCAAAGATCGCACAGTACCTCCTGAACCTCTGCTCAGCCCAGCACAAGTTTCACAGTGAGATGACCTCTCGTCAACTGACCTACTGTTTAGCCTCAGGTGTGTAGAATTATTTCTATATACAGAGCCATTTGAAGTTGAATTTACAGTGCTTTGCAGTCCTTTTAATAAAAAAAATTCATAAAAAATTACATATTTATCTTTTCCAATGAGCATGTTATGCTTCAGTGGACTCAAGAAAAAAAATATTTACTTTATCATTTTCATTAGTTACATTCTTTTTATTATTTTATCATTTTCATCAGATACAAAGATTTGTTTGTTTGTCAACTTGTAGTTAGTAATTTCTGTTATATTTCAACCTAGATGATAGCGTGGCAAAATATACATCAATATGCCGTGCTCGACACAATCAGATAAATAGGCTGTCATGCTCGGAGATTGTGCTCAACAATATTGGTTTGAATGGATTACCCAATGACTCCATGAGCAAGTCTTGCGATGACCTGTCAGCAAAGATCGGAGTTCGGATTCAGCAACAGAATGAAGTAAATGACATTCCTGAACCAAGAACCCCAAGTGAACTGAAAGACCAGAGCCGAAGCAGCAGGTGTGTCGATGGATCTGCTCTGCCCATCATTCAAATCACAATTCAAAACTAAATATCTCTCATATCGTGTTGATCTTTCTTGCCTGCAGCCCTCCAGAAACTTTCAGTCCTCCAGTCTATCGCATCATGTCCAATGTCTCTTTGCAAAAGCAGGACTCAGAGGTTAATTTCACCACCTCGTCTATAAGAGGTAAACAGTGAAGCTCTCTCTGGTTTTAATGCTAAAGTTTGACATTGACTTTTAATGATTAGCTGATATTTCTATGATAAGATCTATGATCTTATGGGAGCTGATTATAAACAACATTTCAACATAAAACATAAAAGTTATTCTCAATATAACATGCGAAAGTGGATATATAATTTATATTATTTATTATATTTTATCTTTCTTAAATAATCTATTTTCATTTCTTTTTTTAGTGGACACACCCACAAGAACAACCCCAGAGAGAGAAATCATCAGTGTAACTTTAAAAAAGGATCCAAAACTTGGTTTCGGTGAGTGAAAATGAACATGCATCTTTTATATAACGTTAAGCATTTGAATGCTGATGTATCTTTTTTGATGAAAAGGTTTTGTAATGGTCGGTGAGGACAACACAGGGAAGTTAGATCTGGGAATTTTCATAGCATCCATCGTTCCCGACGGGCCAGCTGATAGGGACGGCAGAATCAGACCCGGTACAATCCTGAACATTTCCCCTCTTTTATGCCCAAAAATAAAAAGAAATGAAAAAGACTTATTTTCTTTTGTTTGTGTTTAGGTGGTCGGCTGATCTCTCTGAATAAGACCAGTCTAGAGGGGGTGACGTTTAATATAGCTGCTGCCATACTGCAGAGCAGCCCAGATGAAGTGGAGCTCATAGTGTCCCAACCCAAACGTATGTCTTCATATTGCACCAATTATTTACATATGTTCTGTCTTCATACTTTCACTTTTAAAAATGAACTGTGCACATTTTAATGTTAAAATACATTCTACTATCCTAGCAGTAAGACATTACTTTATCTGTATTTTTGCAATTATGGTACATTTGGTGGTAGGAATTACACATTTAAAATGTTTAAATTTTTTGTTCCTGAGTAGAGGATCTCCGGGACAGTAAGACCTCACTGGCTACAAGTAATTTAGGGATGATGCTGGAAAGAGGCTTTGGCTCTCAAAGCACCCTGAGTGCAGAGTACAGGCCTGTGATGGAGGAGCTGGAGGAGACCCTGTCCAACATCATGGCTCCCAAAATGGGCAAAAGGCTGCACATACCTGTGGTGCGGATTCTGGATTTTCAGGTGAGATTTACAGTGATGCAGTTTGTCCAGTTTGTTAGAAATCATCTGACATGAACAAAAACTAACCAACATACATTTTTTATTGTTCATCCTGTGCAGGATAGATATAATTCTTCCAGCTTCAGTTCAAGGCCAGGTGAAGTAATCTACATGGAGCTCAGAAAGATCAACAGCAGCTTGGGAATCAGTGTTGGTGTGAGTTTTTACTCTGTGTGGTGTTCATGTAATTTCTCAAATCTTAAAACATGGAGTGTTTTACTATTTAAATGATTTGTAGGGGGGAATCAACACTAATGTACATCATGGAGGAATCTACATCAAAAGCGTGATCCCAGGAGGAGCGGCAGATCAAGATGGAAGAATACAGATAGGTAAAGATCCATCATTACCAATTATAAAACCTGATATTCAGATAAAATAATCTTTTAGTCAGACTTTTCTTAGAATGACTGCAAGAAAAGTCTGGATTAATTTTATCAAAAATACAGTAAAAACACTACAAATTGTAAAACAATATTACAATTTAAATGAATTGTTTTCTATTTGAATATAGTTTAAAATTGAATTATTCCTGTGATGGCAAAGCTGATTTTTCAGCAGTGATTACCCCGGTCTTCAATGTCACATGATATTTCAGAAATCATTCTAATATGTTAATTTGGTGCTCAAGAATTTTTTTTGTTATTATTATCAATGCTGAAAACATTGTGCTGCTGAATATTTTTGTTAAAACTGTGATACTTTTTTCAAGATTCTTTGATGATGATCAAGTATTCAAGAATGGTATTTAATTGAAATGGAAATCTTTTGTAACATAATTTTGTAACATTACGTATGGTACTACTTTATAAATATAAAATTTATAAATAGTAAAATTATTGTCACTTTTGATCAATTTAATGCATCTTGCTGAATAAAATACTAATTTCTTTGAAAAACAAAGAACCTTACTGACCTTAAACTTTTCGAACGGTAGTGGTTCCGGTGTGTTCTATGCATATTTGTCATATCCTTGACGATGTACAAACATGACTCAGATGTGTCCCTAACATGCTAATGAGCATGAATATGCAACACCCTGACTGGTTGTGACGCATGATTGGTGTTGACAGCTCAATGAATTCTTGTATGTGTGACAGGTGACAGGCTGCTAGAGGTGGACGGCTGTAACCTGTGTGCTGTCACACACAGGCAGGCGGTAGAGTGCCTGAAGAGGACGGGGGAGGTAATGACATGTGTTTGCATTACTTCTGAGTGGTACAATCACAACCGTTAATGTAACTGGATATGATTGAGCCCACAGTAGGACACTAACACCCATGTTTCGGATATTAGGTAAGACAGTTATGATATATTTTTTCAGTGATGTTTTTATACTACTTATTTACTATTATGGAATTTATTAATATTTTATATTAGCTCTTATTTTATATTTCCAGCTTTCATTTCAATTTTAGTCTTTTTTAATTAATTTTTATTTTATTTTTTTCATTAGTTTTTTATATTTCTGTTTAACTTTTATTTAAGTGTTAGTAATTTTAGCATATCAAATGATTTCTAATTTTCGTACAGGTTTTACAAGTTTAAGTTTTTAATTTTTGATGAAAAACATAAGAATTAACCGAAGTTTTTAATAGCTTTAGTTTTAGGTAACAGTAACAATACAGCCAAATGAAGAGAAGGCTTATACAGCTGACAAGCATTTTGACAGTCAGTTCAGTGTTGAGTAACACAGCACTTACATTAAGTTTGTTTTTGCGAACAGTTAAAGAGCAGTTACTTTCATTTAATCTTAGCTGACATTTTGAGAAGTAACTGCTGTAAGATGTGAACTCTAGCACAAGGGCGAGCCAAAGGTCACATTATGTCTGAAGAGCCAGTGCTCCTCTCTTCAGCATGTCAGTTGCTTTAGGACAACAACATTATCAACCCTTGTTTTCTTACGGGTTCTCAGACTGCACAAAAGAAAGATCTAAAGTGAAAGCATACGTGTTGGTCGATATTTTTGTCTGGGCTAATAAGATTTTCCGGGGTATGACACTGAGCCCTGCGTCGTCATACTGACACACTATTACACTTAAGCTGACCAGCCACACGCACTGGTTAGGTAACAGGCCTTGTGTTAAGAAGACTGATGACGTGGGTATGTTCACTATACGTGCACAGCCAGTATGATAAATTAAGAAGACATGTTGCTTTAATGACAGTGTTATTTTCAGGTGGTGAGCCTGGTTCTGGAACGAGAGCCTCCAGTGGTGCTGGACACTTACAGTGCCTCATCCACATTGGAGAGACAGAGATCTCCTTCACCCCTCAGTGCTCAAAGCACACCCACCCCCCTGAGGAGAGATGTGACCATGGAAACGCCCTTGTCTGTCAGGGCCAAGGACTTCAGCTTTGTGTCAGATGGTGAGAGGGGGATCAGAGAGGGGGAGAAAACACTGCAAAACATTTCAACTGAATCTGACAGTGACACTGTGCTAGCTGCCAGACCCATGTAACTCAAAGACCCAGCCAAATTTAGAGTTTGTCTGGAGGAACATTGTTTTTTATGTATATATTACATCATAATTACATTTTTTGCACTGGTATATGTTTTGCATCAAATTTGACAGTTAGAGTCTATCTATAGCACATCCAAAAATGAAAATTCTGTCATCATTTACTCAACCTCATGTCATTCTAAACCTGTATGAATTTTTTTTTCATCTGTGGAACACAGAAAGTGAATTTTTGAAAAATATCCTGGATACAATTTATAATGAATATAATGGAAGTGAATGAGGTCCAGGAATGTCAAGTTTTTAAAAAAAAGTTGCAAAATCAACATAAAAATAGTCAGTTTGACTATATTACAAATCTTCTGATGTCATATGATCAGTGGCGTTATTTTTAACTAAAACTATAAAAAATTAGTTTTGATAATGGAGATTAAATTTAAAAATACGTATTAGATATACCTAAAATGTAAAGAAATTAGAAATTTTGCCTTTTAATTTTGGTAAGTGAAATAAATAATTGAAAAAAGTTGAAGTATTAAGAATGCTAATACTAAAACTAAAATAAAAATAAACCCAGCCAAATTTAGAGTTTGTCTGGAGGAACATTGTTTTTTATGTATATATTACATCATAATTACATTTTTTGCACATTTTCTGTCATCATTTACTTAATGAATATAATGGAAGTGAATGAGGTCCAGGAATGTCAAGTTTTTAAAAAAAGTTGCAAAATCAACATAAAAATAGTCAGTTTGACTATATTACAAATCTTCTGATGTCATATGATCAGTGGCGTTATTTTTAACTAAAACTATAAAAAAATTAGTTTTTCCAAAAATGAAAATTCTGTCATCATTTACTCAACCTCATGTCATTCTAAACCTGTATGAATTTTTTTTTCATCTGTGGAACACAGAAAGTGAATTTTTGAAAAATATCCTGGATACAATTTATAATGAATATAATGGAAGTGAATGAGGTCCAGGAATGTCAAGTTTTTAAAAAAAGTTGCAAAATCAACATAAAAATAGTCAGTTTGACTATATTACAAATCTTCTGATGTCATATGATCAGTGGCGTTATTTTTAACTAAAACTATAAAAAAATTAGTTTTGATAATGGAGATTAAATTTAAAAATACGTATTAGATATACCTAAAATTTAATTTTGGTAAGTGAAATAAATAATTGAAAAAAGTTGAAGTATTAAGAATGCTAATACTAAAACTAAAATAAAAATAAAGCTAAATAGAATTATTTAAAAAATACAAAAATACTAAAACTTACAAAAGCACACAACAAAATTGCTAAAACCTCAACTAAAATTCAATAGAAAACTGAAAATACAAAAATAAAAGCCAATTTTAAATGATAAATGAATACTATAAAAAATATATAAATAAGTAAGCTGAATATGTTAACCGGATCCATTCATTTGGTAAACAAATCATTTAGACTGGCTTTGTGAACTGGATGGACTGATTTATTCAAAATATTAAAATCAGAATAGTCATCTTAGAGTACTTATTCACTTTTATTATATTAAAGAGTGGCCAGGGTATACTGTAATTTTTTTTTTTGCAATTTTGGATGAACTGTCCTTTAACTGTTAAATATAACTTATTTTAATGTGTGTGAGTCTGGACTGATTATAAACTACAAATTGGGAGAGTTCTGCTCTTTCTTTGTGGCAGATGACATCCTGGAGGTGACGCTACAGAAGAGTCTGAGTAGCCTGGGGTTCAGTTTCATCATATCTGAACTGGGTCCGGATGAGGGCAGCATGGTGCAAATTAAGAGCCTTTCTTCTGGTCAGCCTGCAGGGGATTGTGGGCTTCTGAAGGAGGGAGACATAATCCTGGCTGTCAATAGAGAACCTGTCAGAGGCCTTTCCTATGAGGTAAAGGATATATTATTTATATTTAGCATTCCAAGATGGGATACATCAAAGCAGAGTGAGAGACAAATAACTTAATGAAGTACTGAGATTCAGTATTTGTATATTTGTATACAGATATTTTTTTGATCATTAACAATTCTGTTAATGTAATATATTTACAGACTTGTTAATATATTTGTATTTTGTATATTTTTACTAGTCATATTTTACATATTACTGTTTTTACTTCATTTTTGGTCAAATAAACGCATTAGAGACTTTCAAAAACATTGAAAATGCAGACTTTTTAACAGTAGTGTATATCTTTCTATTACCACAGGAAGTTCTGCGTCTCCTCCAAAAATCTCCATCTAAGATTAGGCTGTCAATCTGCAGAACTTCACAGGATGAACATACAGATATTGAGACCTCTCTGGTAACATCCTTTCTCTACATGGTTGCAAACAACTCTAAAATTGACATGTTATTTTTCAAACTCACATCCTTTTTTTGACAGGGTCATGACACACTTCCAAACCGTGCACTGAGATCCAGGTCTCTAGACCTGCAGACAAGGACTGTTGCCCCAGACTTTAGTGAACTCCTCAAGAAGCGGGCGATAGAGGTGGGTCTAAAGAAAGAAGTTTCCCCAGAGAAAACCCAGGAGATCCCATTGACCCAACAGAAACCAGATACTGAGCTGGTGGATACTACTATATCAGCCCCTCCACCCCTACCTCCACGTCCATCCTCAGGTGAAGCTGGAGAACCTAAACCTCATGCCATAATGGGGGAGGGGCATGAGAGCAAAGCCCCACCCCCAACACCATGCACTGTTAAAGTGACAACAGCCAATCCAGCACCAACACCAGCAGCCCCTGAAACAGCAATTGCAACCCATCAGCAAGAGTCAAAAAATGATACCATCTCAACCAACCATGTCTCAGCTTGTACCAGGTAAAGGCTTGTTTATTTCTATGTGATATCAACTATAAAATGATCAATATGTTCTGAACATTATATCTAAATGCGTCATTTAATGATTAATCAAATTTTATTTTTGGTTTTGAGAATAAAGTGCTTGAGATATAATACCATTCAAAAGTTTGGGGAAAAAGTCTCTTTTGCTCACCAAGGCTGCATATTTTTGATTAAAAAAACAGTAAAAACAGTAATATTGCAAAAGATTATTAGAATTTAAATTAACTTCTTTATATTTTTAATGTGTTAAAATGTAATTTATTCCTGTCATAGCAAATCTGAATTTTCAGCAGCCATTACTCCAGTCATCAGTGTGAAATAATCCTTTAGAAATCATTCTAATATGCTAATTTGATACTCAAGAAACATTTCTTATAATTATCAATTGTGATGCCTTATATTTAATAAAACTTAAGGTCTTTCTTCACTGCTTAATACAAGAAAATGGTCTTGAAAAAGTAAAATATGTCACAAATATTAATATCTTGTTATCACAGTCACACAACTGAAGGTGTGGAAGAGAGCATGACAAGTTTCACAGCTAATGGACTGACCGTCATAGCCGATGAGGAATACTTGAGCATCACCACCACAGCACCTTCTCCTCCAAGCTGCAGCATTGCTGTCTCCAATGAACCGCCACCACCAGCGGCCCTTTCTCCATCACTGTTAAGCACACCTCCATCCTACCAGCAAGCAACTCAAACGTCATCACCAGTGAAACCTCCTGCCCAGTTTACCATCCCCTCAGCCAGAAACAACAGCGGCTGGGATGATGATGAAGAAGAGGAGGATGATGAAGATCCCCAAAGGGTAAAGTCTGATTGCGTTTACCTACAGTTTTAGCATACATTTCAGTGCTGGTTTAAGCTCCAAAACTTTGGAATTCACTACCTGCTTAATTTATTGAAAGTCTTTCCTAAAACATATTTTTGTTATTTATGTTTTTCTTTTTTTCTGTGTAAGTGCCATTGACAAGCTTGCTTTATAAAATAAAGCACTAAAGTTTATTAAATTATTATTATTATTATTATTATTATTATTTAATGCTGGTGGACTAGCATAGCCTTGTTGTTCAGCATCTCTTTTCTTCTTCCTTTAGGACATGTTGAAGGAGTTTGAACTGACTGTCTCACTGACCAAATCATGGTGTGGCAGTTTTGGTTTTACAATAACCAGGAGTAAACTGGACAACTGCTTTTATGTCCAGGAGGTCCTGGATAATCCAGCCAAAGCAGATGGCAGACTTAGGGCAGGAGACAGACTTGTCATGGTACTGCTTTTCCCACCATTGAAAACACAATCACAGTTATGCAGTTATGAACGTCCCTTTCTGAAGTTTTCATAAGATTTGATTGTCAGTTATTTGAATTGGCATTATCTCCTTTTCAGGTAAACGGTCACAATGTGACCAACGTGACAGATGACGTGGCTATTAGCATCCTCAGGTCTTCCTCTAAAAGACTGCACATGGTGCTGGGCAGAGCTGTGCAAAATCTACTCCCCCCGCCGCCTCCTGACACCCTCCAGGACATTGTCATCCCCAAGACTCCATCCGGACAACTGGGTGAGGAGATGCTTTATAGCATATATATATAACAAAAAGATTTCATATTCAGTTCAAAATGATGATCCTTTTGCATCTGTCTATGCAGGTATCAAGCTAACAGGGGGTATTGGCAGCAAGTGGCAGGGAATTTATGTCCAGGAGGTGGTGCCAAGCTCCCCTGCTAGTGAAGAGGGCAGCATCCAGCCCAATGACAAGATTGTTTATATATGTGGGAAGTGCACCCTGGGAATGACGCTGGAGGATGCTGTGAAAGTGTGTGAGAGTGCCCCGCGCAAAGTCCGATTCAAAGCCATGAGGTTAGACTGGAGAATAATTAGGTTTAAACATTAATTAGTATCAGTTTTTGCCTTTGTAACTTTTGATTAAATGTTTGCTCTTTGTTTCAGAGATGACCAACCAGTGATACCAGTAGATAAATGGAATGGTACGTTTAATAATTGGTTTATTCATAATCTATACAGAATAAGAGGTTGATGTTTATTTGTTCACTTCGAGTGTGTGTTTGTTGCTATTATTAAGTCTTATTTGATTATATGGAGTTACATATAGACTTTAACCTTCCCATGGGCCAGGTAACTGCTCCGGCTGTCAGTGGGAAGTGTTTTTTCTTGCTCTAGGTGTGTGAAGGCTCTGGCTGGGCTGCAGTCATGATCGACATGTTTCAGTCTAGTCTGAAGTGACAGAGATGAGGCAGAGAGCTGCTCCAGTGGTTTTCCAGAGCAGCCTAGGCTTTCATAGCATGCTTCACTGGACATTGTGTCATTTTAAGCGGAGTGTCAACTCTTATTAGACAGCATTACCTACTGTGTCAGTCCTGAATAATATTTGATTATTTTGGTTCCAATCACTAATTTAAATACAAAAAATAATTAAAAAGGACTTAATACACAAATATTTTCTAAATTTTTTTAATGGTTTTTGCCTGTGCAAAAATTGTTGCCTTGATGCTAGGTTGTTGATGGTGGTTGTGGCGAACTAGTAATGTTATTAAATGAGCCTGAGCATAAAAAATAATATATAGATAGATAGGGTTTAAAAATTGTGTAATATTTTCTTACAAACGTAAAATGAAGGAAATTTTGAATTATGGAGTACCATTTTTAAAAATAATAATTATTATTATTAAAATTTTCACATATGTCAGTAAGAGTTTATTGAAAAGAAAAATCTTATGTTGGTCTATAAAGTTTATATAGATATTTTTAATACTAATGTATATTTCTGGAGTAACATATTAAAACCACAAACATCTTCTTTTTATCCTTTACCATTTTTCCTCTTCAGGTTTGTTTGAATGGAAGGAGAAAAAAGTCTTCCCCCACCTCGAAGAGCCTGTGTCCCCTGACATGGAGGCGGCTCCTACCGATGGTAAAGCCTTTGGTTTCCTGTGTCTCTGTTGTCTGGGAGTTGTGGCATTAGATCTGTGCTGACAGACATGGCATGTCCTGCTCAAAGGGCAGCGGGTGCAGGATTAATTATTAGCAAGGGACATGGCCTCCTCTGGCCGATCAAAGTGCGTTTTCGTTGTGTCTAACGAATAAAGGCCAGCTGATCTAGTGGGCATCCGGGTTGCTAGGAGATCGCTAGCCAGGAGGTCCGAAAGAGCTTGAAAAGGTGAGCATAGTTTACCTACAGTAGCACGGAGCAGGTCATCAACACATCTTCCCCGAAATGGCAGCAGAGGAGGGAGACATTCGTGAGTTTGGGAATTGTTTTAAATTCCTGTGATCTTGGTTTCTCATTTAGCAGGAAGAATAGGATGTGATAAGATGCTTGGATTGATTTTGTCTTCATTTTTGATTAACTTTGTAACTTTGAAATTGGTTGAATGAGTTTGATGAACCATTCAGAGTAAATGGTCCTGCTTAGTTACAGAACCGCATCTAAAATTTCTTTAGTTTTGGTTGTAAAATGTTTTGTTGTTGACAAATTCTTTCTCTCTTTTCTGTTACAGTTAAACCTGTCGCTGACAGTGCCATACAATTCAGGAAAAGGCTGTCTGTCACATCAGAGCAGGAGGTAATTGTCCCTCGGCCTTGTTTTAGGCTGATGATGTTCATTTGAGTTTAACATGGTAGCAGAGGATGGTTGAAGGATGGCAGCTAGTTATAAAGTTCCACCAAAGTTTGATGAAACCAGCCCATACGAGTGTTGGAAAAATGAAGTTAATATCTGGACGCGGGTTACCAAACTCGACAAAAAGAAACAAGCCCTCGCTGTTTCCTTAGGGCTTGAGGGGCGAGCTCGTGAAACGACGATAGAAATACCTTTGGAGGATTTAGACAGTGATAATGGTATGGCAAAGCTGATGGCTAAGCTGGACAATGTTTTCCTAAAAGAGGAAAAGGATTCGCGCATATGAAGCCTATTCTTATTTTGATGCCCTAACAAAGAATAGTTTGGTTTCCATGGTGGACTACATAATTGATTTCGAACAGCGATACAATCGGATGAAAAAGTATAATATGACGCTTCCTGATGCTGTGCTGGCTTTTAAGCTATTGGACACGGCCTGCCTCGATGAAAAAAATAGACGGCTAGCACTAACAGTTTGCTTACCTGCAGTATTTGAAGTTTTCACCCATGCAGTCGGCTCTAAAACGTATTTTCGGAGGAAAAACGACAGGCTCATCAAACAGAATACAAGTGAACCAGGACGTGGCATTTTTCACAGAACAAATATCGCAAGGAAGAGGAAAATGGAACACAATGTTGCAAAGTGGACAACTAAAGCAGCCATTACCAGGGACTAATCCACTGGATAAGTACGGTAGTATGGAAGTCCTAACAGTGACAGAAAATATGTCTCCAGATGAGAAATGCAAAGTCCTTCTGAAGCTCCATAAACAGTTTGGTCACGAGTCGGCAGACAGGTTACAGAGGCTCATTCACAGTTCAGGAAATAAGGACAAAGAATGCCTTACTATTCTACAACAAATAGTAAATGACTGTGAAACATGCCAGAAATACAAAAAGGACAAAGCCAAAGCCTGCTGTGGGGTTGCCCATGGCTTCAGAATATAACGAAACAGTGGCAGTGGATCTACACGAGTTAGAACCAGGTGTATGGTATCTTCACATCATCGACCACTTCACAAGCGCCGGAAACATTGTGAAAACAAAGAAGCCATCTGAAATGGTCAACTCCTTTATTCACACTTGGATTAGTGTCCATGGCGCCCCCCAGAAGCTGTACAGTGATAATGGAGGGGAATTCAACAACCAAGAAATCAGAGACATGGCTGGAAATTTTAACATTGAGATAAGAACAACGGCTGGATACAGTCCCTGGAGCAACAGACTACTCGAGAGACATAATCAAACACTCACCGAGATCATCCTGAAGGTCAAACGAGAAAATGGATGTGACTGGCACACTGCCCTTGACTGGGCCCTCATGGCTAAGAACAGTATGGTGAATGTTCATGGATGTAATCCATACCAATTGGTGTTTGGACAGAATCCTAATCTTCCTTCTGTGTTAGTTGATAAACTACCTGCTCTAGAAGGTACAACTGTGAGTGCTAAAGTGGGAGAACACATTTCTGCTTTACATGCTTCTAGGAAAGCATTCACAGAAGCAGTCTTCTGAGCTGATAAGAAGGGCACTACGTAGGCAGCATAGGCCCACAGATGACATGTATATGACAGGAGACAAGGTAGATTACAAAAGAGCAGACTGTCCTGAATGGAAGGGACCATGGGTAGTTATTGGTCAAGATGGAGCTGTTGTAAGACATGAGGGGACTTTTGTTAGCGTACATCAATCCAGGCTCTGTAAGATAACCACACAGGATCAGGAATCTCAAGATAAGCAAAATGAACAAGACAACAGCCAGGTACTGAGTGAAAAAGGCAGCTTAAACAATGCAGCAGATAGCTCAGATAGTGAAGAAAACACAGACAGCGAACAAGAAAACATCAGCGGCAAGGAGGTTAATACAGGAGAAGTGGTTTATTCTAGAATGACACAGCCTGAAACAGATCACAATGTGTGTGGTAATCCTGTCTCTTCTGCTGGTGTAAAGTTAAAAACAGGACAGGCTGTCACATTTATGAAACAGGAAGGTGGTGGTCTACAAAGAGCCAAAGTTTTAGGCAGAGCAGGCAAAGCATCTGGAAAATATAAAAACCGGTTCAATCTGCAACAGGTCAACAAAACAACAGGTTGCCCTTAAGTCAACAAAACAGGTCTCTGAGAAACGTCTTCGACTGAAAATAAGCAGCATAAATGAGCTCATACAGAGTAAAAAGATCAAGAAGGTACTATGGTCGGACACAAAAACTGGTCGCTGACTGTCTTACAAAAAAAGGAGCATCGGCTCTGATTTTACTGAAAGTACTCAGTGAAGGACTATGGTGCTATTGAAAGCACTTAGTTAAGGACTGTGGACACTTATAAAAATAAAAAAAAGGATGGAAAGGTGTTCATTTGAGTTTAACAGATGACAGGCTGTAACATGACTCTTGCTTTGTAATCTGTCATTCGCCTCTAAATACCTTTGTAATCATTAGCAGCAATATTAATTCATTAATATTAGACTATTCAAATATTGGAGTAGCGTCGAGTGAAGAGACTCCGCTCACATCTCACGACATGGCACACAGCAATGACGCACAGCAATGGCGTCACTCGTCGACTGAGTAGCAATCATTTAAAACGTTTCTACAAAATGGGAGTAGATGCTTGTTCAAACAGAACTTGCATGTCTGCACCTGTGTCCAAATGCACTAATTTTCACTTTCTTCGTTTAGCGATTGGTAACATTCACTCATTTACAGTCCACAATATAGTAAACAAGTTAGCAGTTTTGAACACAGTATATTCTTGAATGTATTAAATGCATCTGTCGCTTATGTGAATACAGCACACAATGTCATGATGGATAACATTTTCTTTCAAATCTATGCATTAATCTTTAAATAGATGCATAAATTGATCAAAAGAGACATATCAATGCAGACATTTACAGTGTTGCACAAGATTTCTATAGATCAAACAAATATAAACATTCTATTCATCTAAGAATTGTGAAAAAGTTATCACAGTTTCCACAAAAATATTAAGCAACGCAACTGTTTTCAACAGATAATTTTTTCATGTTTCTTGAGCATGAAATCAGCATGATCATGAATCATGATTTCTGAAGGATCATGTGACATTAAATAAATTGCTATAATATTTCACAATTAATGCAGACTTGGTAAGCATAAGATTCTTCTTTCAAAAACAATAAAAAATCTTGCCCCAAACTTTGGAACATTAGTGTAGTTATACCAAATATTGACCCATCTGATCTGAGCATTAAAAATTTTTTTTTTACATATTTAAAAGGATAAATTTTGACTCTAATATACTGGCATTGTATTGGTCTCTCTTTCTAGACATCTACATCAACACAACCATAAAAAGCTATATTGTTCAAACACTAGTACTGACACGTGTTAGAAACTGAGATATTGTTTTAATTGTCTTCTCCTGCTGTAACACTTCATTTGCAGATATTACAGCACGAACAGAAACACAGGCAGATCATGTGTCTTTCCAGACCTCAGAATGTCCTGGTGTTGGAAGGGAATGTGAGCAGGTATCATTTTTATTTTCCTTTTAGATTGAACTTGTAAATTACAAAACTGAGATGACGACTTTCTCCAGTGAATTGAAAGCCCTTCCCAGAACAGATTAGTAGACAAAGAGCTATCTAATAAGTGACAAGTTCCAACACCTAGAAAGGTTTGCCATGAAATTAATTAGCACCGCCTCCAGTTTCTCTCAGAGGAAACCGCTGAAACTCAGATGACAGTAAGGGTGTCCTGAGCAGAGTTAACTCATCACCTGTCTCCTCTTTCTTTCTCTTTCTCATTTTTCTGTCTATCTCTTGCCTGTAGGAAAGTCGAAACTGTACACTTACCTGTCAGAGGTGTTGTCCATCTCTGGGAGTCACAGACATGCTACAGGAAAGGTGAGTGTCTCTGAATTCCCATATTTTTTTCTCACATTTATGTTGATGCTGTCGCTATATTACATTTGGCATCAAGAGTGCTGCTAGTGTATTGTACAGTATGAGACCTCAAAGTTTGTTCTGAATGAACTAAAACCTCAAAAAAGTGTCGGTTTATTCATAAGTCTGCAACTTGTTGTGACTGCTCATAAACCAGGTCATAAGGACTGAATTTCATTGCAGGTTTTGTTTTGTTTCTTGTTTGTTTGTTTTAACATAGCTCTCAAAAGGAATCGCCACAGGGAGGCACTAAAGAGTCATTAATGAAATACAGGCCCAATAATCACAGCTTTGGCTTCTAGTTAGGCTGGCCTACAAGCCACACTTGGTGTTCAATTCAATTCAAGTTTATTTGTATAGCGCTTTTTACGATACAAATCGTTGCAAAGCAACTTTACAGCAAATTAAGTTTCTACAATATTTAGTGGTAGCTTATCAGTGGTGACTGTCAGTTAATGTACATATGGCAGAAATATACGGAAAAATCAGTTAAAGACATAATCAAACAGATGATGAACACTATAAACAGCAATTATTATATGATGCAATCAAACTTATAGCAAAATGTGGTAGTTCTGTAAGTTGTTTCAGGGTTGGCATCATCTGAGGTCCTCTGAGGGGTTGGCATCATCTCTTCTCAGGTGTTCTGGATCCAGACTGAAGCTTGTGTAAATCCTAGTTACGGCAAAACCAGAGAAACAAATAGAGACATAATTAGCGTAGCTGCTGTTCCAGCACTTGCAGTTAGCAGCTTTTTTACATTTTAGGTGGAAAAATCGCAGGAAAATCAGCCTTGCATGATAACAGGCCCCGGAACGTAGCAATGTGGTCAAGGTCTCTGCTCATTCCTGCCCCGTACCCCCTTCAGGACAGACCCCCAGGAGCAGCATCTAGAAAAATCTGCCATGAAAACAGAGCATAGCCAGTCAGTCGGCTGGAGCAGTGATGAAGAAGAGGATGGTGATGATGATGACAATGCTTCTCAGCCATGGCTTCCCGAGACCGTTCCTAATACAGGTAAATGAAATTACATTACCTTCATATCTCATATTTTTCACCACCTGTGTAATTCTATAGTTATTCTAAAGTAATGTATTGTAGAGATCTGTGGCTTGTGTAGATCCTGAAATCACCTGAAAAGGACTTTATTTCATTAAGGTCGACCAATTGTGTCAGAAGAGGAGCTTGCTAGGCTTGCAGTGATATCCCTGTCTAAGAATGGGCAGTACTCTGGCTCCAGGGTCAAAGCCCTCATACAGGCCCTTGAACAGTTAGAGAAGCAAGATCTGATCAAAGAGTTTATGGTAAGTTCCTGTTGTTGACATCAATACAAACAACTATATTTTATTGCTTATTATTACAACCACGTTTATTTTCTTGTAATATTTTTCATATAAATCTATAGTTTATCTCTTTAATACTAATATAGTGTCTACAATACACATTGAAGTATTTAAAGAATGATAATTCAAGTGTGAACATGTGTGGCTCTTTTTTTAATAGGCTTTAGAGCATTTGAAACCCTCAGACAACTGCCTGGTTGGAAAAGCACCTGAAAACCGGGAGAAGAACAGATACAGAGATATCCTGCCCTGTAAGTTCCTCTGCTTCTCCCATAATCCACCACAAACCCGGCTTCAGTTAGGATTTTTATTACCGTTTTACAGTTTGCAAGCCTCAGTTCTCATAAAACAGATTTTTGGGTGTACATTTTCACACCATTTTGCAACCACATGGACCACACACTGTAGGGAAACTCTAAAAAATGTATGCAGATTTTTACAGTAAAATGGTAAAAATCACTGTAAATAAAATAATATCCATATTGTCCCACATTGTTCATTGTGAAGATTTAAATTAATCTCTGAGTCTCCTGTTTAACTTTATATTTTTTACACAATTTTAATATATGACTATTTATTACATTTTAAATTATTTGTTTAGCTACTGCTAAAACTATTGTAATTCACAAGATATACTGCAAATTCACACTAATATTCCAGAGCAAAGAACATATGTTCAGTTTTAGACAACAGCGAATGTGAGGAGAGGACTGACTCCTGTATACATTTACCTGTAAACAGTGGAACACATGACACAGCAATTAAATGAAATGTAACCAATCCCTGGTTATTTACTCCCAGGTCTCCTACCAGTGCTGGGCATTAGATTACATTGCCAGTGTAGACATCTATTTGACTCTGTATTTCACACTCTATCTGCCACCTCTTTGCGGCTTTCTGGACTTCCTCACCCATGTGGTGCCATTTTCACACTGCAGCCACGGGTATACTGTTAGTACTGATTCAGTTTTTGCTGGTGTGAAGTGTAAGCAGGTCAGAGGCTACGTGAGGCGTTGTTTGCCCTCAGTTTAAAACAAAACACAGAACGCTGCAAAAGTAAAGTCAGACAGGAGATGTGTGACTCATAGATCTGCTTTCACTGTTAATGGGAAACATCCATTCATGTGCAGGGTCAGAACGAGTATGCAGAGAGCGGGCTGTAGTTGTATTGAAGAGAGGGGGTCTCTGTACAGAATAGGCACAATACGGAGCTTCATGTGCTTGCGGGAGTCAGACTGGCCCTAGCCTGGCTCGGAGTGTTTGTTTATTATCACGGCAGCTCACTGGGCTTCTGTTCCCCAAATAAAGCGCCCGGGATTGAAAAGTGTGTGGCCCCTGGGACTTAACCACTGTTATTGCTGGAGGCAGTTCAAGGGCCGCAACCTTCTCCAGGAAGCCTGATTCCACCCATTGTGGAGGCCGCTCCGCACGAATTTACCTACTCCCAGTGACATATGCTTCCTCTCACATATGCCCCCCTTGTTTATCTCCTTCCCTCTCAGTTTCATTTTTCAGCCCTTTTCCTCTTCCGAGCTGTTGAACATGTTTTCGCAAGCAGCCCCCTTTAAAGTGTTACAACAGCAATCCCTTCAGCACTCTCACTATATATATCGCTTACTGATTCTGGAGTACCAGGACAAAACAAGCTATTAACAAATAGGACCTACCTAAAATGAGCGAAAATTCCTCCCAAAAAATGTTTTACATTTTTTTTGTTGACATTATACTTGTAACACAAAATATGAGCACAGTTACTTAAATATTTAAAACTCACCAGAGCCTGACTGATGAACTCATAGTACATGTAGGTCAAATATGGAACACTACTGTTCAGAAGTTTGGGGGTCATAAGATTTTTTATATATTTACAGTAAAAATACATTAAAACAGTAGTATAAATATTATTACAATTTAAAATAATTGTTTTCTATTATAATATATTTTCTAAAATGTAATTTATTCCTGTGATGGCTTTTCTGCAGCTATTACTCCAGTCGTCAGTGTCACATGATCCTTCAGAATTCACTCTATAATATGCTGCTCAAGAAACATTTCTTGTAATTATTAATGTTGAAAACAGATGTACTTCTTAATATTTTTGTGGAAACTGTGATTTTTTTCTCTCACTCTGATGAATAGAAAAATAAAAAATAATAGCATTTATATAAAAAATATATATTTTTTGTAATGATGTAAGAGTCTTTACTGTCAATTTTGATTAGTTTAATGCATCTCATTCTGAATAAAAGTTTGTTTTGTTGAATTCTTAAAAGAAAAGAAAAATCTGACCCCAAAAGGTGAAACAGTATTGGTTGTCTGCTTTTTTCTATGTTTGAAGTACCTAACCCTAATAAGTAATAATGTAATTTTAATAAACAAAAAAATCAAGCAATTTAGTTTTTTGTAATTCTAGTTACAAAAAAAATAGTGATCATTGCGTTGATTTAATTTCAGGGTATAAATGTTGTACATTTAAATTTAATTTTAAATATAAATTAAAAAAATGCCAAGTAAAGTCTCAAGTCTAAATGGGCTACAAGAACCAACACACCACCATGAGAATACTCTAAAATATTCTTCTCACCGTGCTCCCCTGTGTTCACTCCTTCAGGCTTTCCAGCCAGCATGACCTTGAGAGCTTGTTTCATTTATTTGGAGCTATTTGTTGTACCTCGGCACAATTTGTTCCTCCTCTATGGGGAAACCAAAAACGCTGCATTCTTGGTTTGCAGATTAATAACACTGTTGGCTACCGAAGCCAACAACAGCAATCACCTCATTACAGGAATGCTGTGGCCTCATATAAATCTCCTACCTGCATTTCAAATAAAAATTTGTTTGTGGTTTGGGAAACATACATTTGATAGTAAATACACATGCCTTTTGTTTGTTTGCTTATGCATGGATTTTAAATGAATCTGAAAAGAGAAAAGCTGTATACCTTCTGGTTTTCATAATGTGGACTCGATGCTTTAGTTGCCCTGTGGGAATTGAGCCGTCACAGAGAGTTTAACTGTTGTTTTCTTATCTTATATTATGGCCAAATAACATGCATGCTTGTTTAAGCTTAAATGTACTAAAATCTTGGCTGAGGATTCAGCAGAAGTAATTGCTCAGTTTTTCAAACTGTGTATGAAGATTAATTGATCACAATTTACTATCCCTGTTTATCTCAACTGTTTGAACAAACAGATGATAAGACGCGTGTACCTGTCGGAGAGAATGAGGGCTACATCAATGCCAGCTACATTCGTATGAAGGTGGGCACAGAGGAGCTCCTCTACATCTCTGCTCAGGGCCCTTTGCCTGGCACTCAGGATAACTTCTGGCAGATGGTGTGGGAGAACAAGTCTGATGTTATCGCCATGATGACTCAGGAGGTGGAACATGGCCGGGTAAAATGCCACAAGTACTGGCCCGAGAAGCTCGATGTTCCCAAAGAAACCAGCCGTTACCAGCTCCACCTGGATAACTACCAGATGCTTGGCTATTTCCACATTAAGGTCATCAAGATGGTGGAAAAAGAGGTTAGGAGCATGTACCTGATGTAAATTTTCTTATTGTAACCGTTTCAGTGTAAAAGCCACCTTTTAAACACCACAGTCAGGCTATGATTTCAACATCCCTAAAGGAATAGTTCACCCAAAAATAACATTTTCAGGGAATTTACTCACCTTCAGGCCATCCGAGATGTAGATGAGTTTCTTCATTAGAACAGATTTGGAGAAATGTAGCATGACATCACTTCCTCACCAGTGAATCCTCTGCAGTGAATGGGTGCCGTCAGAATGATAGTTCAAACAGCTGATAAAAACATCACAATAATCCACAAGTATTCGATTCCAGTCCATCAGTTAACATCTTGTGAAGTGAAAAGCTATGTGTTTGTACCAAATTCCTCATTAAGACATTTTTCATTTCCAAATGTTGCTTAAGAATGTTTCTTTTCTCCAAAATATTGCTTTCTCGTGAAGACGTTGTCTCATTTGAATCAGGAGAGAAATATGCACAGATCAAGAACCATTCACAAGTGAAAAAAGGGACAACAGGGGAAGGACTTTTTCATTTGGGGAAGTGTCATTATGTGTTATGGGCCAGTTTGACCAGAAGTGACGATTTAAGTTTAAAAAAAAAAACTTTAATGATGGATTTGATTCTTATAAACACACAGCTTTTTGCTTCACAAGACATGAATTGATGGACTGGAGTTGTGTGGATTACTTGTGGATTTTGTGATGCTTCTATCAGCTATTTGAACTCTGATGGCAGAATTAATCTTTGAAAATGTTTTATTTTAAATTAATTTAAATGTATTTTTATTTTATTTTTAACATGTTTTTATAACGTTTCGATATTTCTATTGGAAACAAGACAAAAATACTGATTAAACATTGTTTTCACAGTGTATCTTCTAAATTCCATATCTCCCAAAATCTCAATTATTGATTTGTTACACAACTTTGTGTTCAAAACTCATTATGGAATTGTGTACCTTTCCAGAGTGGAGACATTCAATTTGTAAAGCATCTAAAGTTCACCACATGGCCTGACCATGGCACGCCACACTCCTCCGAGCAGCTGGTGTGCTTCATGCGCTACATGAGGGCTGTTCACACTAAAGGGCCGATCATAGTCCACTGCAGTGCAGGCATTGGCCGATCTGGAGTCCTCATCTGCACTGACGTCATCCTTAGTCTCATTGAGAAAGACCTAAGTGTGAGTATTTTAAACAAGCATAGCATTAGCACCAAACTTAAAGCAATAGTGTTTGTGTTTATAAGTAATGACAGAATTCTCATTTAAATACACAGTGTAGCATTATGAGCAGCTGAACGTATGTACTTCTGTTTGCTGCTATAGATTAACGTGAGTGGCATAGTAAAGGAGATGAGACTCCAGCGGCACGGCATGATTCAGACCAAGGTGAGTATATCAGGACATTCAGTAAGAATGCTTCCTTCAGGTGAATATATAAATCAATGATGGGAAATTGACTAGAGCACATCATTTCTCAGTCACTGTGTTTGCTTGTTTGTTTATTAATTATTTCTGCATTATCCTTCTTCTCAATATACAGTATAGTCATATAAATCCTATGGACAGGTTTTGTAATTCTTCTCTCTGATTTTAGGAACAATACCTCTTTTGTTACAAAGTCTGGCTGGAAGTGTTACAAAGCATCTCACTACTTCATGATCACCACTGGCAAACTGAAACTTCTTCATGAACAAATCCTTACAGTCCTTAATACAAGTGTTTCCTCAGAAAGGCAACAATATATGTGTTTTTGAGTGGCAGACATGGTTGTGATGTGTTGATTGTGTGAGTCTAATATAGTATGACCACTTCTTCTATTACTCGAATATTGAATATATCATTGGAAATATGGTAGATATTTTCATTAACTGTGCAATGTCCTTGTGTGATGTGATATATATTTTTGTACCATTTTGGCTTAAAGACACTGATTTCATAGCCTTTCTGGACTCTTAGTCATTTTGCCTTGAACGTATTTTTTTAAAGACAAAAGTTATGCACATTAATTTTTTATTCAAATTAATTTAACTTATTTTTCACATTTTGAACAGAAGTATGTCCAGTTACGTGATTTTCTTATAGTATTGCACTGGTTTGATTTTGGCAGTATTGCAGCGTCTGATTTTAGTAGCTGTGAGAGAGGCCATCTTCATTTAAAATGCTTTTTACACTCTCAGAAGAACCAGCTGCTAGACAGATACTTTTAGCAAAGTGCCTTTTAATTTCTCTATGTGGGCAGTTTACCGCTCATCTTTCTTTATCTGCACTCTTCTTGATTAAAACAAGATGTGTTACCTCTTAGTTGACATTAGGTCAGAGCAAGAGGAATTAACCCAAAGAAATAGGATTGATGCAATGAGATTACAAACCACAGCCTTCTTATCTGTATGTATAGCCTATGAGTATCTGCCAGCAGGCGTAATCACTTGGAAACCAGGATTTGACTTTGGACAGCAGAGCACGCATCTGCTTACACATGTAATGGAGAAAGAACGCTTGCAGTAAACCATCTGAAGACATCGGTCTCACAATATTAAGCAACAAATGTGTGATTGGGTTGGAAATGCTAATGGACCAATATTCTGTGATACTGTAGTACTTCTCACTGTTTAGCTTGATGCAAAGCAACAGCACAATAATTTTCAGCACACTAATGTCTTAAAAGTTATGTTTATTATAGACTATCAGAGCACATCAGAGCTTTTAAAATGGGTAAGTCATCCCATTTGATCTATAGTCATGTATTTATTTGCATTAATTTTCCACAGGCTGTGTGAAAAGGTTATCAAACTACTATATTGCCGTATTACATTATAAATTATTAGCCTTGTACTTTAATGGAAAGCTCAGTTATGAGATGTATCAGAAATGTATTACTCTTCCTATACCCGTTTTTACAAATAAAAACACTATAATTGTATTTAATGTGTTTCAAGATATTATTTATCATATTCAAAGCATCAGATTCAGGTTGGAAGCTTAGAAGCATGTTTTTTGCAGACAAAATACCATGCTAAAATAACCTTGCACTGCAGTGGACCAACACTACTTTCAATGGCACCGCAACACTGCCATTAAATCCGCAGATGATCCACAGATCAATGGGGCATAAGCAGATAGTATGAAAACATACCAATGAGATGGTACCAATTCATATGAATTAGCCACCAATTCACCAAAATGTCAAATAGTTGTGAATTGCTCTATCAGTTGGCCAGTTAGCCTAAGTCCGATTACAGAACTAATCACTCTTATGAGCCAGAATCAGGATCAGAAAATGTTAAATTCCTACATATTTAACATATATTTTTTATTCATACCTGTAGCCAATTAAATAGCAAAGAACTACAACACTAGCATATCGAATCCTATGTAGTAGGCCTATGTCAGCACATCTCAGCTTTTCTTCCTGCACTTGATCTGTACACATCCTGAGGTTTCCAGATGTCATTGCGGCCACGCTGTGGATGATAAATTTCAGTAGGAGAAACAAAAACAGAGACTTTACAGCCAAAGCCATGGCACACGGGGCAGAGTGTTCCCACTCTGCTTTTACTGCAGAGTAAATACCGCCTCTCACATGGGCTCCTGTGACAGCATGGAAAGCCTTTTGACCTTGCAAAAGAGGAGGAAAGCCTTCAAAGCCAAACATTTGTGCGAAAACACGATTAGCAAGTTTCCAGGCCTTGTTGGTATTTTGAAATATAGAAACCATCGCTTGAGCTGTCTTCAACTTTTTGTAAAGTGCTAAACCACAAATGAGTGGTAATTTCACATCAGGAGGGATGTTCCCTATTATTATTAATTGAACAATCACTCTTTGCTGAGAAACTACCTTTATGTGTTGAAAATGAAACACTCTTCCCCTAGCTGATGTGATTTTAGGCATGTTTTGCAATAATAAGGACCCATCTGGATTTCATTATTGCTTCTGTTTTCTTCATGTTCTCCAAATGTTTCCAATTAGTAAAGACCAACAATGCCACTGTTGCCTCATAGTAAACATAATGTGTTGATGGAATGAAATCCTTGACATTAATTGTATTATTTTGTAGTTGTTGGCAATCCTATATCATCTTTATTTAATTATTATTCTGGTTTGTGCAAATACTGCAGCATTTTTTTCATCAGTGTGACTATAAAATAGTTAAACTATGAAACTCTTATTTATTGACAATAGCAACCCACTGACATGAAGCAATTCCTTTAGTGAGGTCTGATTTAGTGCACTTGCTGAAGGAAACTGGTGGAGGATGTGGTTGGTATCTGACATACTCCAGTCATTGATCATGCAACTGAAACCACATGTGCGGAAATTTGAACATTCTTTAAGAATTAATATAAGCCCTAACCGAGCTCTTCTTTCAGTTTTATAACACTTCCAGAGCCGCTGCTATTGTCGCTGAGCTGGAGAGTTCAAGAAGACAGTGACTTTCATTTCTACGTAAAGCTCTAGAGTGGGTGTACTGTGGTAAAGTCATTTGGAACTGTGTATTTGGAGAGAGCCAGTGATTTATAAGAGTGTGGAAATGATCTCACAGCCACCTTGTAAATCCACCAGCTCTTGGGTTCACAGTACAGTGCAGACATAACTTTTTGGTAACAAATGTAAAAATAGCACACAATGTAATAAAGCACTAATTTGTCAACGTTCTCTTAAAACTGTTCCACAGAATTACATTAAAAATGTTGATAATGCAAACAGAAATTACAAATCAAAGCACCAAACCAGTTCTGAGAAAGAGTTTGTTTTGCAGAATCCAGAATCCAAAACACTTCAGGCTTGAGAAACTCTTAATAATTTCATACAACATGCCTATTTATCATGAGCGCAGAAGGTTTCACATGAACACAGCCAGTGTGGACAGGGGCGCCGTTAGCAATTTTGGGCCCTATGAAAGCATATGAGGTTGGGCCCCCTACCACACCAAACATACACTATATTGTCCAAAGTATTGGGACACCCCCTTCTAATTAACAGGATTGACTTTAGTAATTTCCACGAGTACAAATCTTAAAGGGGTCATATGATGCGATTTCAATTTTTCCTTTCTCTTTGGAGTGTTACAAGCTCTTGGTGCATAAAGAAGATCTGTAAAGTTGTGAAGACTAAAGTCTCAAATCCAAAGAGATATTATTTATAAAAGTTAAGAGTCAGCCACGCCTACCTAAAACGGCTCGTTCTAACACGCCCCCACATACCGCTGTCTCTGCACACTCTAGCCCTCCGGCCGTTCCTCACTTTATCCCACGGCCTCCGCTCACTCTAGGCCGCCGTGTGTGATGCTGTGTTTCGTTGTGAAAGTGAAACTACTTTGTTTGGTCTTCCAAAAATGGACACGACTAAAAATCAGTGGTTAAGTTGTATTTACAACACTGTTTCAGAACACTTCAACCCAAATATTCAGATGTGTGCAGCACATTTTATGAAGGACCGTTTCCTGATCCTGGTAGAGTAGACTACAATGCCGGCTGTTCTGACTCACAGACTGTAAGTAAGTTTTTTATATTTAAAGAGTTTTTATATTTTATATATTTAAAGTGAGTTTTTTGGGCAGTGTAGAGTAGGGATTGTTGTTTGTCATTTCTCCGATCACAAATGCAGACATGGTTTTATGTTTCCACGGCAACGTAATGCGTAAAAAGACAGTATAAGTCATTATAATCCATAATTATGTCGACACTGGATGCAACAAATGCCTCGTTTATAATGGGTTTTAATGTTTTTGTCTCGTCACTCCGGCCACTATTTCCAACTCTCGCAAGATAAATAAGCAACTGCAGCTTAAAAAACAAGCCCAAAACAATTTTTTTTTTGATGATTTATGATCATCAATATTATTTATTATCAATTATTTATTACCAATAAATAATTGGCAATAAATTATTTATTGGTAATAAATAAATAATTTATTTACCTGCAACATATTAAACTGAAACCACTCTTTTATCTGAAAAGCAAAAACAGATATTTTCCAAAAATCAGCAAACTGCAACAAAGTGAGAACAAAAAACTCATCTCCAATCACCTGTGAGCAGAATAGGATTGGAGAGATGGAAAAGGAGAAAAACACAAGAGCTTCAAAGGGGAACTGTAACATAGCCACATATTTATCGCCTACTAAAATATAGGCTATTCGAACCAAATGTATAGGCTATATAGATTTAGTATTAGTATAGGACTACTTGTTTTATTACAGCCTGTGATTAATACATTACAAAAACATTGTAAAAATTAAAAATTAAGCTAAAAGAAAGTCATCCCACTCCTCTTCGTCTAATTCTATCATCGCTTGGATTACAGCGTCACGTGCCTTCTTTTTGAACGTGATTTTCTTCAATGAGGGGGAGGAGGGGGTGGAACATTTGACAAATTAAAGGGTTAGTTCATCCAAAAATGAAAATTAGGCTGTGTTTTACTCACCCCCGATGCATCCTAGGTGTATATGACTTTCTTCTTTCAGACGAATCCAGTCGGAGTTATATTAAAAATGGTCTTTGATCTTTCAAGCTCTATCGTTGCACTCAGCGGGTGTTGCAGTGCTTCGGTTCAAAAGACCTGAAATAAAAAGCACCCTTCCATAAAAAAAGTGTCTCACACGGCTCCGGGGGGTGAACAAAGGCCTCCTGTAGTGAATCGATAAGTTTTTGTAAGAAAAATATCCATATTCAAAACGTAATAATCACTTGAATCTAGCTTGCGCTCACTGTTGTAAACGGAAGCAGTTCCGGGGGAATGACGTATGAGGTCAGCTTTGCGCATGCGCCTCTCAGAAGTGACGCACGCGGAGAGATCGAAACAAAACAACGGTCACTAATTAGAAGTACAAAAGGAGGATTTGTAAAGAAGAATGTCGGAGGATTTCGATATAAGCCAAGAGGAGACTTGTTTTACTTTGCTAAAGTAAGGAAACTTTGCTTCTTTTGATCCTGTAAACAAACGTTGGTTATTGCTGGGTTTAGTGTGGCAAAATAGAAGCACAGCAGTAATTTGCGTGCAGTGTATCTGCTTGCCAGGACAACCTCACGCGCTTCCTG